AATGATGATGAGTCTGAGTGTTATTGGTGAATTGTTTTATGGGCTCTCGCATTTAATATGATTTTTTGTCGTCATACTAACGTCTAATATTCTCCCCAAATTTTTTCATCTAGGTTTACTCGCCGGGCTTTGGGAGTTCCCCAGTCAGATCGCGTGCGCCTCTCAGTCGAATAGCAAACAGACTGAGACCTCCGATGACGCAGTGGATGATGGTGTAATCCTAGGCGTTTTAGTCGATCGTATCACCACCTCCCTTAACTTATGCGTAGAAGATAAAATTCAGCTGAAACCAAAACTGATTGGTGAGGTAAGTAACTTGCTAAGGTCTTGCCATAGTATTCACCTCAACATTTAAAAGTCTCCTCATCTTGGTTTTTTATACCAAAAGTTTCTTGTGCGGAACTTCTCCAACTGTAGAGTGTCCATATTTCAAGAGCAACCACCTTCGTCTGGTCCTTTAGACCTTCGGTAGAGTTTTGGGACTCTCAAGTTAGGTCACGAACCACTTTGGGAAGTTAGCCCCACTCCTCCTTCGGAACAGACTGAGAATTCGTCAGCTCCGCAACCTTTTCACAATATAACCTTTCTGATATTGTTTTCTTTACAAATTGCTTTGACCGTTGACTTTCGATCGCTTCCGTCACGTAGTTTTTATTCGTCGCAGTCAATTGATAGGCTTGCTTCAGTTGTATGCAGTGAGACATAAGTTCCACTTAAGTATCCTTTAGATCCACAGTCCTATATCACTGTACCCAGCCACCATATCAGCCAACTTCACAAGGATGTGTAGTTCACTAGCTTATATCCATCACATTTCCGTGCTGCGGTAGTCCTTTCCATTCATTGAGCCTGCCGGTCCATCACACCTCCATATCCACACACAAACTTCGTTTGACTGCACTGCGTAATCGAATTATGTTACAGTCCCGGAGGTCTGTAACCGTTTGTATCAAAAAGTGACTGCGGTCATTCTGAGCTCTAATAATAGTTAGTATGTTCGGGCCCAGAAACACCGCATGCCAACTTTCTAGTGTCACGTAAAGCGGGTGTTATCGATTCCCAGCTGCAATCGGTGTTTTCCATGCACCACACAGTGGGCTTTAAGATGCGTGCTTAATAAGCGACTCAGAAAGCTGTTCCGCTGCTCAAGTGGGAAGTTAACTTATTGGAATTTCCCTGAATATTCACTGAAAACCTACATAGAAGGAGCTCACGGTTCGGCTTAGCTAATGTATTTCAGAATGATCACAGTCTAGCACTAATGGTAATTAATGGCTATGCCATCAGTTTTACTCTAAGGTTGTTCAGTAGTAGAGACACGTCAGGTAGTAAAACCGGCGTCCACCGCACCTACACCCAGTGATGCTGAGAAACAACTGTTGATTAGTGCGGAGTTGTGAAAGGCATTCACCGTTGCCGTTTCGTTTTTGGTCCCGCATAAACTGGAGGCGTCCTACTTGTGCATTGAAGTCTCCTTGGATTAGGACTATATCTGATGAGTTTCGTCTTTGTGTGAAAATCTCCAAGTGGCTCGCACTAAGCAGACTGCCTGGAAGCCCACTGGTGAAGAAGTTCCAAGGAAGCAGTTCACCACAAAGGCTTCTCGAAAGAGCGCGCTGGCGACCGGTGGTGTCAAGAAACATTATCATTGGCACAGGCCGGTCGAACTGTGCGAAATTCGTGGTTACCAAGAGAGTACTGATTTCTTGATTCGCAGACTGCCATTCCAGTGCCTTGTCCGTGAAATCGCTCAAGACTTCAAGACGGACCTTTGTTTCCAAATCTCTGCTGTCTCATCTCTGCAACAAGCCAGCGAGGCTTACCTTGTTGGCCTCTTCGAGGACACCAATCTTTTCGCTATCCGCGCCAAACGTGTCACCATCATGTCCAAGGACATCTAACTGGCCCTCCCAATCCGTGGAGAAGGCGCTTAAGTTTCACCTTAGGAGATCGATGCCAAGACCATTTATCCCAGAATACCTGAAACCTACTGAGACTCTCAAACTCCACCAAACGCCGATCAGACAGTGCGAGACACCTGTATAAACGTCAGCCAGTGCCCCTCAATGTATATAGCGCGAGGACGTTGTACCTTCGCACTCGCATTCGTTTATTGTAATAAAGCTGTTGTGTTCCTTTTTGGCTAGTCTTTTATCTGTGGCACTAGGTACTAGAGTGGGGATAGTAGTTAGATAAAGCAGATTAGCGATGGATAGGAGGATGGTTATTTCTCGAGAAGAAGCATCTTTGACAGTTGGTTGTGGTGCATAGGCAGAATCTTTTGAGCGGTGCGCGTCCGATCAAATGGAAGATTCTGGGGCAAATGCTTACGGGTATCCAGTCACACAAGGACGTCTCTATTCCGGAACTGTGAGCTATACCAACTCTAGTGCAACCAATCGCGGCAGCTGAAGAATCACTCGAAGTTCGGAGGCAACAGCGCCCAGAATGTACATGGGTGTTGTATTTGGGTTTCAGAGGTACTGCAAGCTCATATAGATAAAATCTCAAGGGTGCGTGCAGGGGTAGTTGCTTAAGGGTTCAAACATTGAAGGCCGCAATAAAATTGGAGTATGGGGTGTGATTCATAAAGGTGGAGCGGTTGGAATGAACTGTGATGTGCAGGTGGTCATTTCCCTTGAAAGTCTACTGACGTCCGTATCGCTAGGCCTTACAGGAGATTGATCATTGAATGGGACAACGGGACAGATAGGACGGGCTAGTAAAGAAAGATGGGAGGTATCAGCAGCCGCATGTCATGGCCTATCTGTCGAATAAGACCACCTGGTTGATGGCACCACGAGAAGGTTGAGGTGGCTCGTGGGTACTACATCTGTTTGCGTAATTCATTGTTGTTTCTTAACTGCGGTGTTTCATCAATCACGGTTTTGTGGAACGTTCTACGTCCGTGCCACTGAACGATTAATAAGTGCGTATTGTGCTCCACCAGTTTTCGGAGAGTTAGTTTGTTATGTTTTTCTGTGGATTGAAATGTTTTGCCATCAGACTTCTGGTGAAACAATGACTTGGGAACCATTCCATCGACTGCACGCGTAGAATTGCTCCAACTACAGAAAAATTGTTCGAATCGTGCGGAATTGGCCCTTTATTTTGATAGAAATGCTAATAATAATAAATCAGTCCGTCCAACGTATAATGATGCGCTTCGGACAATAGTCTGCTGTCATCAAGCATGTACATAATGAACTGCCCTGCCTGAACAACCAAATCAGATTTGAACGGTCGTCCTGCTGTTCCGGCGTAATCATTCCGGTGAGTCCACACCAAAGGGAAGCACTGGACTCGAGTTTCGCTCTTATTAGGGCTGTGCATATCCAATGGCTGTGCCGGGATTTGAACCCCGGATGTCTGACATGCGAGGCGACAGTGTAACCGCGGTTTGGCTATGAACGAAATACCTATCCCGTAGAACCCCTAAAAATTGCAACCAAAAGGTTGCCCAGTGGGTTTCAAGCGTGTGTCACGCTACCTGACTGGCGGGTCAATCGATCGTCACAATCAGGATAGTTACTGGGTCTTCGTTCGATGGGTCGGTGTGAACACGTTCGCCTGTTCAGACGTAATAATTCAGATGCGTCCAACATGCGTTGGAGTAGTGCTTATACGCTCGCCTCGCATGTCAGATGTCCGGGGTTCAAATCCCTGCACGGCCATCGGACATGCACTGCTAATGAGCGCTAATAAGCGCGAAAATCGAGTCCAGTGCTTCCCTTTGGTGTGAACTCACCGGAATAATTACACCGGAACAGGAGGACGATACTTCAAACGAGATTGATGTGACTATTAAAAAAATATCTATCCCGCGAAACCCCCAAAAATTGCAAGCTAATCAGATTTTCCATGCTTACGCGCGTCTGAAGGAGCCCCATTTTTTGTGTTGTAAACATTTCTCATAGATTCAACAGTTGCCACACTGGGAGGGCAGGCCGTCTTACGTAGATTATTATCTTTATTTGTTTCCATCAGATGAAGTTACACTGCACCGAATTTTCACTGTTTTCCTCCCCTGGACTCTCCTGCCGACTTCAGTTTTTTTTAAATTTGGTTGTGCAAACTTAATTCGATGTATAATTCTTGTTCAAATGAAAATATTTATGTGAATGGTCAAAAAGTTGGTGAAGCAATCCGTTTTTTTGTTGGTGATAGTTCGAGCCCATCTTCCACCAGGTGGGACTGACAACTAATCGTCGGACATGAGATTATGATCTTTAAAGTTCATCTTCTGGTTCCAGAAGTTCTTTGGCCGCACAGACTTAGCGCAATACCCATAACGGTGCTGAAAACTCCACGCCCCTTGTGGGCCTCAACAGATAGGCACAGTCCTCCGTCAACCTTATGTTCTACGTGAAATCAAATTGCGCGAAATTTTGCAACTACATTCATTTATGGGCCAATTTAGCTTTGACGGGAGACCCACCTAACTGGGCTGGTATGCTAATGAGTGTATTTTTCGTATTTTGGCTGTAATCAAATAACGCCTTGGTGCGAGTCGGTTAGGCAAATTTCTGATAGTCCTGATGTTTAAAAATTGTCACAGTATTTCACGCGTGCAAAGGGACTTCTACTGTTCTCATCTGCTTGTCCGCCTGAAACTATGTTTTAACTTAGTCATCTAGACAGTTCGGACGAGCATACCTCCTCCGCCAGCGTATTCGTTTTGGGTAAAATAACATACAACCCCTGAAACCCAGTTGTTAGGGCGCGAATTTACTGACCGGAAGGTCCGTGGTTCGAACCCGACCTCGGCATCTCGACTTCCCCTGTCTAGGCTTGGGCAATCTGGCAGTATCACAGCCCCCGTGCTTCCTTCTGGTGCCACGGCAGCTAGGCACTGGATGGATGTTGCAGCTGAACGATTTTTTTTTGTTTGGCTACGACCTTCAGCGACGTCCGACCAAATGGGACATGCACCAGTTATCCTTAGTTGCGGCGCGTGAGTGGCAGATGTTCCAACCCCGTTATTCAGTGTACAGTTGCTCCCGCTTCCCAAATGTCTGGAAAGTTGTTTGTTGTTTGTCTGTATACTGTCCTGTTTAATAGTACCACGTGTCCAACATCCCATCGTAGGTTTTCTATTGTGTCGGGTCCGTCAGAATCGGCCGTACATTACAATGGCTCTTCAGGAGATGGAGACCAGGCTGACGGGAGCTATCGATCGCCGCATCAGTTCACCATCATTTATGAATCCCGTGTTTGTAAAATATTGAGAAAGTATGGACAAGATAGAAAGTTGTGTCAGACCCTCCCAAAATCACTGAAAACGTTTGGGTAGATTCCCCGTTACCCCAACGTCTAGTGATAGGTCCATTTAAGTCCCGTTTACGAAGAACTGCTCCACAAAGTGTAGTCTACAGACCGGAGTGCCTAACCGCGCTATCTGCTTCTCCGTGTTCCTTCACATTCCATCTATCCTTCACTTTTCTAGGTCATCCACTTGTTCTCGCACATTCGTATGACATATGTTGTCCATACCTTGTCGCTGCATGCTTTGACGGATCGAAGTCCACGCGTGGGTCGTTGGATTGAATTGTCCGACTTGCAGAATGCTTCCATCTCAACCGCTACTCGGAAGGTGCGAATTCACCAAGCAGACCCGCACTAACTTCAAGAAAAACCGCTTTGTTCCAGTCAAATCTTGCAGCCTTCGTCTCCTTAGGCTCGTTCAGTAATAACATCAGCAGTTTCCTAGGATAAGAACGTTTTCCACAGCATTGTTCATCATCCATTATCGAAATAGTTTGGCGCTGTTGGATAGCATATAGTTGTTTTTTACTTAGAGCCTTGATTGCTTGAACGTGAAGTGAGAAGAGGAAAGTGAATGAGCTTAAGCAGCGATTAACAGGACAACGAAAATCTTGAGGTAGGTAGCTGGACGAACTAAAGTAGGATGATATAGTAGAGGATACGATTTTGACACTGACTAGGCTAAATTGCTCTCCTCCCAACCGGGTGGATCATATTTGAATCCATGACTGTGTCATCAGGTACCTCTCACTGGTTGGGCTTCTTAATTAATGCTCGATACGAGAGTTGTCTTGTCATCAATGAAGAATCTGGATAGGTCGTCGACGACGAATGCACGTTTGCTACGTCGGCCGTTGGACGTGAATGGTATCTTTCGTCAAATATTCGGTTCCTTACTTCTGCAATTACCATGCCTGACACATTTCACGTGCAAAGTACCATGTGGTTCATTGTATGCCCTAGGGAAAAGTGCGCCAGTCCCTGTACCTAACGACCCGCTCCACTTTGATCGTGTGTTTATGGACAACTGTCACAACTTTGGGCTATCCTTCTGTTCGTCAATTCGACCACGTTTTGTCGACATTTTCGGAATCGTTTACCTAACGACTCCACTTTGATCGTGTGTTTATGGACAACTGTCACAACTTTGGGCTATCCTTCTGTTCGTCAATTCGACCACGTTTTGTTTGTCTTTTCGGAATCGTTATCAAGGGAGAATATTGTAACTGAATTCTTTTTTTTACAAACAACATGGTGCAGTTTCAGACGACCCATCGACTGAGTTTGCACGATACGCTTTGATTGTTGTTTAGGCGATTTCGTCACACTTATCGAGAGTCCACCCCGTAAAGAGGCACAATTCTTTTCCCACTGTACTAGTCTGAAGTATAAAATGCGTCCCGTAAAAACTTACCGTTACCCGTAAAGTGGTATGTGCGGAGCAGAAGACTCTAAAGAAACCGTATCCAGACACTAAGTTCGATTACTATCGATTCAGCGCACACGTATAAATCTGTTTGGAACCTGTGAATCGGTGTGCACTGGCGCGTTTTCCTCCCTGTCGCATAAACGGCAGGCACCTGAAGTCTTAAACCTCATCTCGTTTCTTTGTCACTTCCAGATCTTATCGCACTTTCAAAGCTACCCTGATACCGAATCACCACGAAAGGTTGGTTCAACTTTATTACTTTCCCACATTGCCCTATCACAGTCACACGTATCCAACATCCCCCTGCAGCTATTATTGTTTCAATCTCTCATCTCATCGTTAAAGTGCTGACGCGACTGCGGTTGCAGCCATACTGACAGCTTCTTTATTAGTTGGTTTCTCACAACTTTGTTACATTTTCAGTCGTCCGGGGAACCGAATAGGAACAAACGCAAGTCAGCTATCCCGCTGTGTGATCGAAAGCAAATGCGATTGGACAATTTCTTCAGATAATTCAGGTTTTTATGCAGATTTTGCCCCCTTATTCCGGGATATATACGATATATCTTAATAGAGAAAAATGGATTTCTCCAACAACCCTTTTTACTTTTCTGTCGAAATGGGGCTGGATTTAAATGACCCATGTTGAACTTTATTGTGGCACGTGGGAGAGCTGAGCTTCTCACATCTGTGTGAAGTAGTTTATTGCGAAATCTTATCACTTATTTCAGACGGGGTGGGTGCTTCGCACTCTGATATGCTTCCTTGTTTCGGGCTGGTATGGCTGAATTTCATTGTCCCCTCAAGTTCACTGCTTGCTCAGTATGCTTGATGAGTACACACTTCAGGCTGGACATTTCGCAAATGGAATGCCGCGTAGTCCCCAGTATTTCACGCAAGTGTGTCCTCCGGGAAACTCCAGGCGTGTGCGGTCGGCTCAGTCATCGTAAAGGTTACACTAAGGGGCCATTGCCCCGTGACTGCATCCGAAGTTACTGTAATTCACTATCCGCTTCACACATGACACACGTTTCTACTGTTCGCGCAGTCTTCGACAGACCAACTATGGCTAACTTTACGCGGATGTATTTCTCCACTTTGGATAGTTTTTAAAATGTACTATTCCGCGTTGTAAACCTTTACACCGGGATGTCCAAAGTATTCATGAATGGTACTATTCATACGACCAAACAAAGTGGAGTATGCTTGCAGGACGAACTTGAGGACTATTCAACTTTCACGAAGTGCTTTGTTGGAAACGAAGATTATTGAACTGCAATACTAACTCTCTGGAGAGGTTACTTGCATCAAGACTGACAACTTTCCCCCTTGAGCTAGCCGTCATCTTGGTGGCTAGGCACTAAAGTAACACATCCACAAACAGTTCGCTGTCCGACTACCTGGCGTCCCCAAATGTCAATCTGCAGGGCTTATGCTGACCATATTCATCTATAGGTATACCTATCAAGGGAGAATATTGTAACTGAATTCTTTTTTTACAAACAACATGGTGCAGTTTCGGACGCCCCATCGACTGAGTTTGCACGATACGCTTTGATTGTTGTTTAGGCGATTTCGTCACACTTATCGAGAGTCCACCCCGTAAAGAGGCACAATTCTTTTCCCACTGTACTAGTCTGAAGTATAAAATGCATCCCGTAAAAACTTACCGTTACCCGTAAAGTGGTATGTGCGGAGCAGAAGACTCTAAAGAAACCGTATCCAGACACTAAGTTCGATTACTATCGATTCAGCGCACACGTATAAATCTGTTTGGAACCTGTGAATCGGTGTGCACTGGCGCGTTTTCCTCCCTGTCGCATAAACGGTAGGCACCTGAAGTCTTAAACCTCATCTCGTTTCTTTGTCACTTCCAGATCTTATCGCACTTTCAAGCTACCCTGCATACCGAATCACCACGAAAGGTTGGTTCAACTTTATTACTTTCCCACATTGCCCTATCACAGTCACACGTATCCAACATCCCCTTGCAACTATTATTGTTTCAATCTCTCATCTCATCGTTAAAGTGCTGACGCGACTGCGGTTGCAGCCATACTGACAGCTTCTTTATTAGTTGGTTTCTCACAACTTTGTTACATTTTCAGTCGTCCGGGGAACCGAATAGGAACAAACGCAAGTCAGCTATCCCGCTGTGTGATCGAAAGCAAATGCGATTGGACAATTTCTTCAGATAATTCAGGTTTTTATGCAGATTTTGCCCCCTTATTCCGGGATATATACGATATATCTTAATAGAGAAAAATGGATTTCTCCAACAACCCTTTTTACTTTTCTGTCGAAATGGGGCTGGATTTAAATGACCCATGTTGAACTTTATTGTGGCACGTGGGAGAGCTGAGCTTCTCACATCTGTGTGAAGTAGTTTATTGCGAAATCTTATCACTTATTTCAGACGGGGTGGGTGCTTCGCACTCTGATATGCTTCCTTGTTTCGGGCTGGTATGGCTGAATTTCATTGTCCCCTGAAGTTCACTGCTTGCTCAGTGTGCTTGATGAGTACACACTTCAGGCTGGACATTTCGCAAATGGAATGCCGCGTAGTCCCCAGTATTTCACGCAAGTGTGTCCTCCGGGAAACTCCAGGCGTGTGCGGTCGGCTCAGTCATCGTAAAGGTTACACTAAGGGGCCATTGCCCCGTGACTGCATTCGAAGTTACTGTAATTCACTATCCGCTTCACACATGACACACGTTTCTACTGTTCGCGCAGTCTTCGACAGACCAACTATGGCTAACTTTACGCGGATGTATTTCTCCACTTTGGATAGTTTTTAAAATGTACTATTCCGCGTTGTAAACCTTTACACCGGGATGTCCAAAGTATTCATGAATGGTACTATTCATACGACCAAACAAAGTGGAGTATGCTTGCAGGACGAACTTGAGGACTATTCAACTTTCACGAAGTGCTTTGTTGGAAACGAAGATTATTGAACTGCAATACTAACTCTCTGGAGAGGTTACTTGCATCAAGACTGACAACTTTCCCCCTTGAGCTAGCCGTCATCTTGGTGGCTAGGCACTAAAGTAACACGTCCACAAACAGTTCGCTGTCCGACTACCTGGCGTCCCCAAATGTCAATCTGCAGGGCTTATGCTGACCATATTCATCTATAGGTATACCTCAGAAGATGCGGTTGCTAACCATTGGTGTTTGATGTCATTTGTTTCCACACTATCCCCTCGATCGAGGTTAGGTCTCCTTATATCTGTAGTAGTATGGAAGTTAAACTGCACCGTGATTAGGTGTGCTGTGAATGAGGATGCCTTAGGAGCTAGGCAGGACTTGGAGGATCAGTGAAGGAGTTCGCATGGTTTTGGTCCCCACTAGTGTAAAATTTAAGTCGATGGCCACTGTTAGCGACGTGTGGACGTCGTTTTCATTTGAGGATTGTGATCGTCTACTAAATGATCCGTGATGGCAATAGAATTTTTAGCTCCACTGACAGCGAAGCTGAGGTTGGCTAAAGCGGGCGACGAGTGAATCGCACTACTGATCACGCGCTTGTGAAACCCACACCTTGAAGGCTGTGGGTTCAAGTCGGTTTGATGCTTGGTGAGATTCACACTTCTGATGATAAGCAATAAGGATGAAGCTGTTTTGCGGTGTTTTTTGGCGTACACGGGCTTCCCTTGAAAGAGAAAATCATTCAGCTGCAAAACCCTTTCGGTGCCCAGCTGAAATACAATCCGAAAGAGCACGAGGGCGGAATACCGCCAGGTTGCCCAAGCCTAAACAGGAGAAGTCAGTATTCAGAGGTCAGATTCGAACCACGGGCCTTTCTGTCAGTAAATTCGAGCACAAACCACTGTGCCATCTCGCCCTCCATGGAGAGACAAATTCTGGACTTTACTTCCCAAATTGCATGACATCATCTAGAAGTGACTGAAAACAGCGAATCCTTTGTCACATCCCTCATAGAAATCGAAGGCTGCATGAGAAGCGGATGGTGGAACGGTGCAGACGTCGGAATAGATTTCTAACGAAGCTAGACAGTAAAAGTTACCGATGTTAGTAAATTCGCGCTGAAACCACTTTGCCATCTCGCCCTCCATGGAGAGACAAATTCTGGACTTTACTTCCCAAATTGCATGACATCATCTAGAAGTGACTGAAAACAGCGAATCCTTTGTCACATCCCTCATAGAAATCGAAGGCTGCATGAGAAGCGGATGGTGGAACGGCGCAGACGTCGGAATAGATTTCTAACGAAGCTAGACAGTAAAAGTTACCGATTCTGGGCGAAGTGATTTTCCTTACCATGGCACCCTTAATAGAAATGAGCCGTTTGGAACTTGTCTAATGAATGGATTTTGACACGGTGTGTATTTTATTAAATGTCCTTCGTGAATAAGTTGCACCCGTTAGTAGGTGCGTTCGGGGTGCAGATCAGACGTGTCGCTGGCGCGTAATGGCGACAATTCATTCAGCCGCACAACGTAAAATCGGAAATTTATTCAGCTTTGGAGTATACTTCTCCAGACAGAGCGGGATCCCGGGAAGTTACATTCTGACGTACTCTATGTTTGGTATGAACATCGCGGAATGATCATACATATTGAGTTTGTGCTCCATTTTGGAGCGAGGGTCAGAAAAAAGGTTATTATTTCCACATACGCAGAGAACAAGTCATAACGCCCAGTGAAATATGCACCGGTTTGTTGCTGCTATTGTAGAAGAGTTTTTCCTGAATCGCTCGTTAAAAGGTTTCGTTGGGCGGTTTACGGTTCTTGTCCATATATTAATTATGTACTTGGTACCTGAGACAAATCCATGTGAAGCCAAGTCCTCTGCAATATCAAGGATTTCAAAATAGCACTTCATGACTCTGCATGTGTCACTTAGTTCTTGTTTTCTCTCAGTTGCTTAAGTGACCGAAATCACGAGTTTGTCCAACACCGTGGTTTATAGCTATTGGTGCAAAACTTCTTGATCGGAAGTGAAGGTTAGTTGCATTAGTGATTCTGCAGGCTACCCCGCTGTCATGTCTCTGTTATTTGCATTAACTGTGCCCGCCTTCCCTTTAGTATGCACGTCAAACACCAGTCCGAGTTTCTCTAGTTTTTGTGTGTTGCATGTTTGTGGATGGATTCGTTCTCTGTGAGGTCCCTTATCTACGCGCGTGGGGATAGAACATAGATTCCAAAAATTTTCGGCACACTAATCAGATCGTGAGCAGCAACTTACGCGTCTTTTAGATTGGAGTATGAACAACGTCACACGCTTAGTGGGTTTTGCCTTAATGAACAGCTAGCGATGACACTCGAGGTAGAAATACAGATGAGGTCACGCCTCACTAACTTTTTTGGGATTCACTTTAGTGGGTTTTGTGAGCGGTGATCTGAAGACATGTGAGCTTTTATTTCAGATATTGCTTTAAATGAGTTTTCTTTACCCAATGAGGATCACTCAGTCTCCTCCTAAAACAACTGAAGGTGCCCTGTAGCCTCGATACAGGCGACGACTTCCCCGTCTACTCCCGTCCAAATATTTTCACGGATTGATACACAGGACTCAGGCCTTGTCCTAAACCTCACGTGTCGGGGTGTTCTTATCGTGTAGCGATGGAAAATCAATATATTCGCATCAGGTAACATAATAAGCAAGAAGACGAAATACCGTACCCTCCTATCAGCACCGCCATCGTGTATTGCCGGCAAACAACAAGGACTACTGCAACGCCGAGCGAAAACCCTTTGAAGACGAACACACCCCTGGGAGAATGACCTTTATACAATATTCGGAAAAGTCAAAAATTTGGAAATTCAGAAAACAGTGGGCATCCGAGAGGGTTCAACAAACAGCTATCCCCTCCAGACCGCTCCAAAATACCATACTCAGGAAATGAATGAGTAGATTCTAGCTTCACCAGAAATACGCCCTAAAGGTTCCAGTTAATCAGTGAAACCACTTTAAACCAGGCAAATTTTCCACCAAAAGTGTCGCTCACAGGTCTAAATTTCCCTCTCCACAGTTTCAATTTATCCTGACTGTAGTGTGAATTTATTTTGCTTCCAAATCTTCCAGTCATTTTACAAACCAGTAGCTGCATCTGATCAAGTATTCCCCGGTGTCATTCGTCATCCTTGTAATAAAGATTCTCAATTAGAAGGACCGTTTTGCCACTTGAGAACGAGGGTCTTTCCAGGTTCACTTGTACGAAATTCCGGTCATTATGCACTGGATTGCATACCAGTGATCGAAATGTGAGTTTAGGAAAAACTGGGTCCCATTTCATCGCATGGTAGAAAATAAGGTCAAGCACGTGAAAGAGGATAGTGATGAGCGGAAGACCGCCGAAGGAATATGGTACTGAAGTGAAAGTAGTGAGGGTCGTTGAGCGTAAGCTCCCCCACTAAGGAATGTGACAGGGTTGTTAAATGAGTAAACAGGTTATTCGCAGATTGCAATAAGAATAATAAAAAATACACCCCCTACACTTCCTCACCCTGCCGCTGGCTGGAAATGAAATGAAATTTGAAGTTTCTGAACCACTGTTCTGGTCTGGGGACAGGCTGCTAAAATTCAAGTGGCTCCTTCTCGTCAAATGTCTAGATATTGCCCAGCTGAGTGAAGCGCATCCGCACGCAAGCTGCATTAGAATTGTTTACCTGCAGCAGGTATGGATGTATGTATCTAGGAGCCACACTCCCAAACAACTCAACCCCATCGCCACGACCTAGTGCAGAGTACTCTTCAGGGTCATCCACTTAGAAGACTACAAGCTGGAGTGAATCTTCCTTACGTAAGTGAACCTTTTCATTCCCCGGTAACTTGAATGCGTAAGGAACAGCTTAGGGTCATGAGAAAATCTTAGAGAATTTTGAAAAAAAATTAGGTACCCACCATGCCTTTTTTAAAGCTTGGAAGCTTAGTTTTTTAGCCCGACAACACTGCCATTAAGTGTCAAAAAACAGATTTTCCACGCGGCCAACGATCCAGAGGGTCGGAACTCAACAAGGAGCATCTATAGGGGCACGTGCTCAAAAGGGCAAGAAAAGCATATCCTGTCGTGTGTGGGTTTTTATGAAGAGATCGAGGAACGCGGTTCCCACCAGACGCCCATGGTCATGCTAGGCAAAACATTGACACAACAGTTGAGGCTGGATCACAAACTCACAACCTCACAATATAGCAAATCAGCACTAGCACTCATCTTGTTACTGAAGTATCTGATGGTGCACAGAATTCTGCGAAAAGAATGTTCCGCAAGCATTATGTTTCTCACATCTTTTCTGGAATATTTCAGG